ACCTCCCCGGTATGAGGAGCGAGTTGCCGAAAATCCCGAGCGTTTCGATGGTGCTAAAGGTGGAGAGAATCTGGCCGAGGTGGGTAGGGTCAACCCAGGTGGTGATCCAGAGGTCTCGGATGTGCGCAGTGACGGTCGCGGAATTTGAGAGCACCATTTTGCGGAACTCTTTGGGGGTGCGGCGGAGGGGTATGGCGTCGTCTACTAGACTGCGGTGACACACAAGGAAAGAGCGGTATAGAATCGGGGTCACCCTGTGGAATTGTTAGGGAATACGAGATAATATCAACGAGATACAGGTACCAGAGTCGGACACGTCTAGCGACCATAATTATACTGCGGATATCGCGGATGTGAATATCTGAAGTCGCGAGGATGAATATTTCGCGCTCCAGCTCTACAGGAAGCTTGGGGTCCGATTCCAAAACGACGGACATGATGGGAGAAGGAGAGGGAGTCGGCGTGCCGGCACAGTCACGCATCGTGATCATGAGCGATAATTCAGAACCAGGCGGCATTTTACGAGGAAACGAAGTAAAGAGGTAGAGCTCAAAGTATGTGTATGTGTCGGACTACTCAACTTCAGCATCCTTTCTTTTACTCGTACTGAGCCTCGATGTGGCTTGAATGTATAGCAGCAGAGTTCTAAAGTGGTTCAGGCGACGAGGACCAGGGGCTCGACGACCGCCGGGAAAGGATACAGAAAAGGCCGTGAGGCCACTCCTTATATTCAGAACCCCATATCCTCCTCGTCACGAACTCTCAATAATTAGGCGCCCATCAAAAGGTGGGCGCCTAAGTAACGACGAAGTAATCGCCAACGCATGAGCGAGGACAGCGTGCGGCCCTCATAGGCAAACGAGCGTGAGGGTATCCCGCACTCGCACCCAACGCAGTAAAACTTCTCGATGCGCCTTTCGCTCGGAAAGTCCGCCTGAGCGCGTGTGTCTTGACATCGACATGTATGCGCATTCATGAACCGCTGGGGCGACAAATGGACTCTGCGGAGATGCGGGAGATGAAAACGAGAAACGGAAGGTAGAGAGTAAACACACCAGCATTGAGATGGTATTCCTCCACCCAAGCCATATTTCGGCGCGACAATGATGCGTTGTCCTCCGCGCGCTTCACCCGACCCAGAAATCGCACCCAGCGGACGATTCAATGCCTCCGACACGGCCAACACCTCCGACACGTCCACCGTCCACTGGAATTACTCGGAATAGGTGCCCAGAGACGGACGCGCGTCTAATATTCGTGGAGCAAGACGAAGCATTTGCCAGCGCAGGAGCGGCAGACACACGGAGCGCGACGGCGGGAATGGCGCGTACGCGCGCCCACGACGCCGGGGATAGAGGCCCTGGAAGGCATCGGTCGGAAGGTGCGTGCGGGCGAGAAGGCGAGTAAGCTGCGCGCAGGCCTCGCGAGGAAAGCTCGTGCAGACCCCGGTGGACGACGGCGGAAACGAAGGTGCCAAAATGGGGCCGTGCTGTGAGAGCAGGCTGCGAGTGACGGCCGCATCTGCATGTCCCAGCGGGCAATGTCGAGCCACTAGACGAGGGATGCGGGCATGAAGCACCCGCACGGCGGTCGAGAATTCATAGGTATGCGGTCGCGGGGCACGCAGCAGAGGCAGAGCATTTCGTGGTGTCAGCGGCTGCTTCCAGTACGACGACACTGTAGGACCTCCACCGACGCTATAACTCGGCGCGAGGAGCATGTTCCCTGCAGTCTCTCGCTCTCAGGCAGAAGCCGCCTACAACCGACGAAAGGACCGCTCCAACGCGACACCAATGTCATTGCGCATGCCCACCAACACCCCTGATATCCACGCGACCCCCCGCAATAGCCATCCATCCAGAGCCAGACGAGCACCGGATATCCCCGACCAAAATGAAGCCCTGCTTTCCGGCAGAGGAGCGAGCGCGACAAATGCGCACAAGGGACGACGCTGATGATCATGCACGCAGGCACACCCGCGCCGGCGAAGGCCAGGAGTGAAGAGGGAAGATCGGACGAGATCGGCTGCGTACAAGAGCCGCGTCTGTCTGCCCGCCACAGCAACGAGCACAACGAGCTACGACGACGAACAACGACGAGTTATCCGTGCTGCGGCGGCGGAGGGTGCTCGGGGGTGTACACCTGTGGGCGTATGGGATTTGCTGCCCAGGGCACGCACATCCGCGACGGTGGGACGAGCACTGCCGCGGTGCGCAGACTGCGCCCGCACGACGGCCACGCACCGCCTCGTCGAGCGGTCGACGCGCGTGGCGCTCGGGAGTACGCCGGGTGTACGCCGGAGCGACGGGGCATGGACTCGCGGCTGGGGCTATGAGCAGTGCGGAGGGCAGCCTGCGGAGGCCTGCGCCGGACCAGTAGGCTGCACGCGGGGGCTTTGTGGACTTCATCGGCGGGGTGGAGCCCCGGCGGGCGACGCGCATGAAGCCCCAGCCGTGGAGGAGGCGCAATGCGCGGTGTGTGTGTGTAGTCCTGGCCGTATCAAAGACAGGGCAAGTTGGTGGGGCTACGGCCTGCACGGACGGGCAGGCGGGGAAGCTCTCGAGGAGAGTCGATCGGATGGCGCTGCGGCGGCGAGCAGACTGTACACGAGGGCCGCGCACGCCTTGGCGACTGACGGCCGGTGGACGACGCGCGTGGCGCTGGCGCGGGGCATAGACGGAGACGCCATGGACTCGCTGCTGGGGCTACGAGCGGTGCGGAGGGCAGGCGGGATGCTCGCGAGGAGAGTTGATGGGAATGCGCTGCGCGCGCAGACTGTAGACGCCGGGCGGGTGGGAATGCTTGCGAGAGGACTCGGTCCGATGGCGCTCCGCCGGAAGGGGGCTGCGCATGAAGCACATGAGTCTCATCAGGCGGGTGCAAGCTCGGTGGGCGACGCGCATGAAGCAAGCACCGTGAAAGATGCGTCCGTGGCTACAGTACGAGCAACGCTGCCAGTGGACGCAGGAGGAGGCAGCCGTGTTCGCGCTTGCACCCCCGCCGCCTGAGACTCGAGGAACTAGATGCCGAAGGAGAGCGGGAGGCGCCGCAGCCCTCGGCGACGGAGATAAGTATAGAGGCTCCCCAGCTCCTCCGCCCGCAGACGACGACGCGCACGCACCCGCTGTGAAGAAGGGCCCCGTGAGGATGGTGCATTGCAGGAGAGGCGCAGTTAGTCGTGGGTGCGGAGGACGAGGGCGGAGAGGGTAGCGATGACGGGAACAGGCTCGGGAAGGGCGGCGGCGTGGGGCACGCATGCCGGGGGGTGGACAATCCAGGTCGGGGACAGCGCCCGCTTCGAAGGCGGCGACAGGAACCATCCCCGCGCGTGGAGTCCAGTCAGTAAAAAAAGGTGTTCATGCGGGCCCCAGGCGACGAGGACGCCGACGCGCAGACGACGCGCTGCAAGTGTTACAGACGAGGAACCCCTCATAGTGTGCCACGTCATCCGACGGGGCAAAGGTGGATCGTCGTCCTGCACCGGCACACGACGACGACGTCTTGAGACTTCGAGTTCAGCGGTAAGTGCTCGGGATGGCCCTGCGTCTGTGGGCTCAAAATGAGAAGGAGCACGAGGCCCACGAGAACGAGGAGCGCACCATTCCCGCACATCCACCAGCGTCCATGGCATCCGTTGCGTACTTTGCCACACTGGGAATCATTGTTAGCTTGCGAATCTGGGGCGAGGAGCGGAGATGAAACGTACCTGCGGCCTCCGCGTGAAGCCTGCATCGTCCACCGGCCGCCCCCGGTCTCCACAGGCGTGTATGGACCCATGTCATACGACTAAACATTCCAACGGCGTGCGCATGCGAAGGTTCGAGGCAGGAGTGAGAGCGTCGCTCCACCGCGGCACGCCCGAGTGCAAACCACACTCGCATTACACCCAATCCACCCCCGCAGGACGGGTTTCGAGATTGGCGGTTTGCGAGGGGCGACGTGCGTGTGAGTAGGCGAGGAAGAGAGCAGCGTAAAAAGCCTGAAAGTCAGCTGGTCGACTGCAAAGCATAAGGAAGAGGTGAGATTGGAGATGAGAAGGACGCACTGACTCGAGACCCGCCTCCAAACCACCGCACGCCCGAGAAGGTGTGGATTCGCCGAGGGTAAAGAAGTAGGGCGCATGGTGGGTAACGCTACTCGAGGACGGAGCTCTCCGCAGTGCGTTGCAGTGGATTGGGGGCGCGGTGCTGCACCTGTCCGGGCATTCTTGCCTCGGGGACGGACAAGCGGGGACGGACAAGCGGGACGTCGAGGGGCAGACTTGGAGATCGTCTGTGATCCACACCATGGAGCGGCCAGAAAGCGTCGCTGTCCGGTTATTCACCGTGATCGTCTTGCATGCGCACGGCGGTGGGCTAATGGCGAAATGCCACGCAATTAACCGTGTCTAGACCATCCGAGTGCTGAAGTACTTGCATGAGCACGGTCCGAGAGGTACGCGAGACGCATACCTGAAGGAATATTACTGCCTCTTCCTCGAGGAAACTAGCCGTCGCACGCGTTGCTTGGGAGGCGACGAAGCGCTGTTTCCAGGAGAATCGATTCGAAGATGGAAATCTTGGCCGATATACCAGACGGAGGAATTGGGGGAAAGCTGGGGGCAGTCTACGAGGTATAGAGGACCCTTTTCAAGAAGAACCACCATGGGAGTATCGAGCGAGGAAGTATTGAATTTAGAACATGGTCGATCGAAAGCAAAAGTGTGTCTAACCCTAACCCTCCACCATCAAATTGAACTCCCGACTGATGTGATTTCGGCTGGCATCGGCATGTTCACTTTCACAGTCGCAAGTGAAACTGCGGGGGACTTGCGACCAACGACGGCGCTCAAGCCCGTAGGAAGACACCCTTCGTGTCTTCTCATGTGGATTTCCGGCCATTTAGCTCGCGGGGGGATTGATATCGGACAGTCGAGTCTCGACGTTCTACTCCTCCCTAGCTCCTTCCCCAAGCTCAAAAGGGGTTCCAACCCCACCGAGTTCACACCGTACCCAAAAAAAGACCCAGTGGCGAAAACTATCGTGCCCGCACGGATCGGGAGGGATATTGATGGTATTTGCGGGAGTTCCCTGTTCGACCCAGGGCTGGGTCGTTCGCCTTCCTCCAATAGGTTTTTTCCTCAAAATGAGTAAAAATGTGCCAGTGAAGAGTTACTTCTGGATGGATTTTTCAGGTTGGTTGGAGAATCAACTACCAGATTCGGAACAGACCCAGTGGCGAAATCCTTCGCATCCGCACTGAGTAAGACGGAGTCCCAGTCATCTGAATCTGCGGGAGGTCCCTGTTCGAATCAGGGCTGGTTCATGTTGTGTACCTTCCCCAACATTTTTTTTTTTGCCTCAGATTCAAACGAGCAGTACGCTCCAGGCAAGAATCGCGGGAACTACGTGTCAATGTACCCGGCGAGGCAGTTTGGGGATTATCCTCGTGTTGAAAATTCAGAAGGTTCAATTGATGTTCGAGCCGACTGCTAAATTGTGATTACGTACCCGGCCGACACGTCGCAGGCAAAACGCATCGCGCCTGCATTGAATACCTTTGTAGAAGGCGTATTAAATCGCGGGAGGTCCCTGTTCGAACCAGGGTTGGGTCATAGTCAAGTGTGAAAAAAGTCTCTTTTTTAAGGGCGCAAGTCATTTCCAGCGGTCAGATGCATTGCATTCGGGGTAGTTTTGAGGGAACGAGCCATTTATAGAGGAAATGCCACATGTCTGTATGGGAGGGTACGCCATTGAGAATGACCCAGTGGCGAAAGATAACGCGTTCAGGCGATATAAGTGTTATCATCTGCGGGAGCTCCCTGTTATTGCTGTTTGCATAAAAGTTGGCACAACGGAATTTTTGATCGCTGTTTGATGCGCCTCAGTAAATCAGTTTTCCTGAGCCCAGTTCTTGGCCGTTTGAGCTGGGAGTATAACCAAAATTCACCGTTTGAGCAGCTGCATCGACTGGCGCCACGCGCAGCTACCTTTTCAATGAAATGAGAATTACAACTTCTGGCAGCCGCATTTCGGCGGCCGAATTTTCACGCCGAGCTTTCACGCGTTTCGGCCCAAATAAATTGATGAGGGGGTGCACATGGTGACTCCCAATACCCTCTCCAAAGCCTGGACGGATTGGGCACGAACTGCACGCGCTGCAACGCGCCGAAGCAAAACTCATCAATTTTGGTGGGATTGGTGTTTAGCGCGATGCTGTCTGTCGTTTTAGCTGAAATAAAGGAACGCAACTGTTTATGCGTATCTCACCTGCACCCCGCTCAATTTTTGGAGCCATCCGGCCCGAAATGGACACGCCGCGACGCGCCGAAGAAGAAGCATCAATCTTGTCACCCAGTGACGCGTTACACCGCGACTTCTCTTCCACCGCCATGCAACTGCCATGCCCAAAGGCAAACCCATCTCAGAGGACCTCAGATGGACTGTCGTCAGAATGCACGCCCTAGGTGTTGGTATTGCCACCATCGAGGCCTACACCGATGTCAGCCGCCGACAAATTTACCGCCTTGTCAATCGGTTTCGCACAACAGCAAAGGTTTTGACTGCAACTCAGCGGAGAAGAACTGGGCGTCCACGACATCTGAGCTCTGACGACGTTGCAATATGTCCTTCCCTTCCCTTTTCTCCCCCTGCTTACACATATTGATCTGCTCCAGTACCTTCAAGGTTGTTTGGATTTGAGTTGCGACAAGTACCTCGACGAACTCCAGCTCGGCCTTCAAGAAACCTGCGGGCGTGTTGTCTCACAATCAACGGTTTGGCGTGCTCTGAGGCGTAGTGGATATACCATGAAAAAGGCAAGAGACATCCCGCCTTGTAGCCCTGTAGCTGATCCTTGCATAGCTCACTCGGGTTGCGATCGAGCGCAGCGTGGTCAAGCGCGCAAAGTTCCGATACAAGATTGGACTCTACTATGAGCCCAAGCAACTGGTATTCGTCGATGAAAGCGCCTGTGACCGTCGGACATCGTATCGTGGACGAGCCTGGGCCTTTAGGGGCCAGCGCGCCCTTCGTAAGGCATTCTTCATTCGTGGTAAACGGTGCGTTGCTTATTCAACTTCTCTCCTTCACTCACACCAAACACTTGACCAGCTACTCTGTCCTTCCCGCAATCTCGCTCGATGGTATTCTCTATGTCAACATCCTCGAGGGCTCTTTCACCACCGACACTTTTGCGGAGTTCATCGACGGACTTTTGGACAAGATGAATCCATTCCCTGGCCCCAACTCGGTGATTGTAATGGATAACTGCCGCATCCACAAGGCTGAGGTGATTCGCGAGATGATCGAAGAGCGGTGCGTGTCCCTCCGTTTGTTTCATTTCAATGTTGTCTTGATACCATGCATTACAGTGGAATGCGTTGCCTCTACCTGCCCCCCTATTCCCCCGATTATAACCCGATGGAACCCGGATTCTCAAAGATAAAAGTGTATGTTCGGCGGGAGGGACAGGCATATCGGGCCGCGACGGAGGCAGACGATGATAAGGCAGAGGTACTCACCCAGCTACACAAGGCCATATATTCTATTACACCGAGTGATGCCGAGGGATGGTTCAGGCACTCGGGCTATTTCTAAGACTAGTTCAAGCATGTATCGTTCAAGAAATTCTGTACTTTGGTGACCAAGAAAACATTACAAAGGATTATTATCGAGCCGCCCATTCAGCTTTACGCTCCGACTCGATCCGGTGAATCTTTTTACAATCCTGCCTCGCATACTTCAGCAGCAATTTCGCGACCCCAAGCGTCATCCTCACACAAATTTCCTGCAGCGTCTTCTCACCGTCAGCGCCAAGATCCGTTAGTTGAACAACACGAGAAAATCCCTGGGCGCGGAGGGGTGCACCGAATTTGCTGAATCCATGTCCGTCCTCCCCGCGGCCAGATGTGTCGAGCTCCAGCAGCCAGTCATCGAGTTTGGGAAACAGCGTGGGTGACTCATTGTCGTCCGAGTCGTCTGCTGTTTTGGCGGGAGATTTCGGCGCAGCAATTGGAGCGGGAGGCGCCGCGGGAGGAGGTGGATAGTACGGGGGTGGGTAAGGGCCCGTGGGAGCGTAGTATGAGTAGGGGTGGGGGCCGGGTGGTGGTGCTGACGGGTTTTGCATCGTCTGGCGGCGGGACGTTGGTGCGGCCTGTGTGCCGTTTTCCATCGGTAGATTTAGCAATGTTGGCGGAGAAGTGACAGAATCGTGGACTCCCTGGGCCTGGGTACCATTAGGGCTTCGTCTCGAGGATGAGTAGGATGAGTAAGGAAGACGTACGCAGAGCATGCTCCAAAGACTTAGGTTCGGATTGGAAAGAGAGACATGTTCGCCATTTTTCGCAACAAGACAAAACCCGCTATGCTTTTCACACTTGTGGGTTGCCTCGAGTTCACGCAAGAACTGTGCACCGGTTTTCTTCTTAGTAGGAACCTCGGCCTCTTCATCGTCGCTCGCACTCGCCAATTTGGGGGTCTGGTCAAGACTTGTTCAGCGTGCACGTAGCGGATAACGAAGACGAAAGGAGTCAAAGGACCCTGACCTTGGATTTCGGTTTTTTCGAGCTCGTACCCTTTTTCGAGTCGGGTTTTTCCTGTACTTTCAGGTCGACAATCGTGACCTGGAGTGGTTTCTTTGCCCGGGCTTTTGACTTCGCGCGCGCGGCGAGCTCCTCACGCGCGCTGTTGAACAGCCGAAGGAGGTGCATGGGGTTACTGAGAATTCGCGGCTTCGTGTCTTTTGTCCAGTGACTGAGTTTGAAGCCAATTTCCAAGTCCTTGCGGCGGACATTCATCTCGTCAGCGATGCTTTGGGTGAATTCGAGGTAAGTGCTGGTAGAGGAGATGGTGAGGGTATCTGTCGCATTGGAGCTGACGGGGATGATCAACTCCAAATCAAGGTCTGGTTTCCGGGATTGGAGTTAGTGTTAGCCCCAGTAGAAATACTGTGACCGCACCTGTGTTAGTCTAGTTGTTACCGCGGGGGTTTGTTGGCGTAGCCGCGCTATTATGTAATCTCACGTAAGCAGAATGCTTTTCAACCCGCTCTTGCCCTAAACACGCGTTTTTTGACCTGTAACTACTCTGGGTGAACTTGAATTACCCATTTAAACATTTCCCTCACTTGGAGTCAGGATGAATGGGTTAGAATTCGGCGTGTTGAATTCGCGGCAGACGCCGGCTTGATGCCGTGATTCTACCCGCCGACGAGGCAAAGCCTCTCGGAAATTCACCAAAAAATTGGAGGAGTCAAACAGTATACTGTTGATAATAATTAGAGCCTCGCTGTGGTTTACTGAATGTCGTGCAGAAGCGTAATGCTCAACCGGCCATTTTCTGCTTATGTGAGATTACATAATACTGCGGCTACGCCAGCCGAGCCCCGCGGTAACTAACAGACTTCAACAAGCGAGGAACGAGATTGATGTTGAAGCGTCTGGCTGCGAGAGACTACACCTGTGTACTGCTCATCCTCCTCATCTTCTTCCCGCTCATCGTCGTCCTCCCCGTCCTTAGAATCGGACCCTTCCTCATCATCCCCACCCGCTTTCTTCCCACCGGAACCCTTGTCCCCGCGCCCCAGCATTCCAATCGTCGCGGCATCGAATTCAGCGCCATCAAGAGTTTCGTGGTCAAGCAAAGTCAGGTCGGAGTCAGAGTCGATTTCAATAGGATTCGGGATGGTCTCGGACTCGGAGGAAAAAGCAATTGCAATAGCAGAGGACGTTGAAGGGGTAGGAGCAGTATTACGGGTAGCACGAGTACTGGCTGGAGCAAGTTTTGCTTTAGGCGCTGCCTTCTTCTTCGGAGGGGGCTTCGTGGTATCTTTTCTGGGGCGGCCAACAGGTCGCTTGGGCGGAGGACTGGCAGGGGCGTCGGCTGCGGGCTCGGACTGTTTTCGCTTCATGGCGGTAGAGAGGAAGACGCGTAACGCGCGTAACTGAGTGACAGCACCAGATCAGTTTTGATCCTGTTTGTTCGGCGCGTCGTGGTGCGTCCATTTCGCGCCGGATGGCTCCAGGGATTGGGTGGGGTGCAAGTGAGATACGCATAAGCAATTGTATCTCTTTGTTTCAACTAAAACGACAGACAGCATCGCGCTAAAGTCCAACCCCAGCAAAATTGATGGGTTTTGCTTCGGCGCGTCGCAGCGCGTGGAGTTCGCACCAGATCCATATACGCTTTGGAGAGGGTGCTGTGAGACCTCATGGGCACCCCTCCATAAATTTATTTGAGCCGAAACGCGTGAAACCCTGGCGTGAAAATTCGGTCGCCGGAACGCGGCTGCCAGAAGTTGTAATCCTCCTTTCACCGATATTATGGAGGCGCGTGGTACCAGTCGATGCGGCTGCTCAAACGGTGAATTTTGCATATGGTTTTAGCTGAATCGGCCCAGAATTGAGCCCAAAAAAAAAATCAATTACTGCGCCGCATCAACCAGCGATCAAAAATCCGGTTGTGCCAACTCTTTTGCAAACAGCAATAAGTTGGATCAGGGCTGGGTCATGTTCGCTTTCACCCGTTCTTTTTGGCTCGGACCTAGTAGAATCAGCTGCGGTGGTGGGACGGGATAATAACCCACCGGCATGGGCTATCCTCGAGTTCGGAACTCTAAGGCCTCAATGGCAGCCCGAGCTGCATACATTAGTTGGGGAATCACACTCGAAACAGACCCAGTAGCAAAATTCATCGCGCCCGCACTGAGTTCGCGGGAATTATGTATTGCCATATCTGTGGGAGGTCCCTGTTCGAATCAGGGCTGGGTCGTTCAATAGCAGCCACGGTTTTCTTTTGCCTCAGATTCAAATGAGTATGCTCCAGGCAAGAATTCCGGGACGCACATCATGATTGTCATGTACCCGAGAAGTAGTATCCTCGGATTGAAGATTCCTGAAGTTCAACAGACCTTGTACTCGGAGCGGACTGGTTACAACCCCACCGGCTTCATGCCGCATTTTAAAACAGACCCAGTAGCGAAATACATCGCGCCTGCATTCTATGTGGAAGCTATCGACAGGGTATTAGATGCGGGAGGTCCCTGTTCGAATCAGGGCTGGGTCATCTGCCTCCACCAGTCTTTTGCCCCAGATTCAAAATGAAGATGCTCCAGGCAAGAATCGCGGGACGAACATCATGATTAACATGTACCCGGGAAGCAGTATCCTCGGGTTGGAGATTCCAGTAGTTCAACAGATGTTCGACTCGGAGCGGACTGGTTACAACCCCACCGGCTTCATGCCCCATTTTAAAACAGACCCAGTAGCGAAATACATCGCGCCTGCATTCTATGTGGAAGCTATCGACAGGGTATTAGATGCGGGAGGTCCCTGTTCGAATCAGGGCTGGGTCATCTGCCTTCACCAGTCTTTTGCCCCAGATTCAAAATGAGGATGCTCCAGGCAATAATTGCAGGACGTAAATCATGATTGACATATACCCGAGAAGCAGTTAGTATCCTCGGGTTCAAGATTCCAAAAGTTCAACAGACGTTCGATTCGGAGCGGACTGTTTGATTGTGTAGCCCACCGGCTTCACACCACATTTTGAAACAGACCCAGTAGCAAAATTCATCGCGCCTGCAATCCATTCCGAAGAAAGCTTGTAGTATACCGCGGGAGGTCCCTGTTCGAACCAGGGTTGGGTCATAATCCGGTGGGAAAAGACCTTTTTTCCAAGGGAGCAGCTCATTTACAGTGGCCAAATGCATCGCGTGCGGAGTGAGTTTCGAGGGAACGAGTCGCGCACTGGATAAGATGCCCTCCGAGTTTCACAGTTCGCATGAGACGGTGCGCCATTGAGAATGACCCAGTGGCGAAAGATGTCGCGCTCGCACCGCGTCAGGCGATATAAGTGTTATTATCTGCGGGAGGTTCCTGTTCGAACCAGGATTGGGTCATATGCATTCTCTCATGAGCTGTTGTGTTTTGCGCTGAGGGCCAAAAAAATTGCCAAGTTAGACACAACTTCAACAGCGAAGTGCATTCTGTATCGACCCAGTTCTTCCTTTCGTCGTGAAGTTGTCAAGGAGGTGTGCAGTTCCCGGTGTACACCGAGCAGAAGGCACTTTCTACTGTCCTGGGTTTTGCCGCGTCGACGCGTCGTGGTGCGAGAGGGGGGAAGTAAGCCGTAATGATGGGCCTGCACTGCTGCGGCCGGGATTTGCCGACGCCTCTTGCTTCCAACTGTCATCTCACAATCCCGCAACCTGCCGCTGGACTTCAACGCATTGAAGAGACTGGCGCAAAAAGCTATGGCACGCGCGTCGGAGGTACTTAGGTGACTGGCAACGCAATCTGACTGGCAATCATGCGACGACACGGACATCGGGTGACCTTCGTGGATTTTTGCCACCCCGCGTTTGGTAGTAAACGAGGGGCCAACATGGTTGGACAGCTCCTTCAAGACTAGAACCGGAACCCTGACGCCCCACCTAGCGCCCAAGCTGCTCCTCAGACGTCCAATCCCCCTCCCGCCGGTAAACGGATTTGTGTGTCTATCCTCGATCGTTTCGCCAACTGTCTGGGGCTTCAAATTTATTCCCGCATCTCCCAAATCTTGCCACCTCCCACCTTCCATCCCCCGGTAAAACCAAGATCACCACACTCGGCTAGAACGCTCCATTCGCAGGGATCGGTAAACAATCAACTCCAAATCTACTCGGGGCCCGTGATCCTACGCTTCCTACTCACCCTTCGGAATATAAATGGCTATACTTCCTTCCTTGTCTCCCACTGTCCTCCTTCCCCCTCACAATGGCTACCGTGGGCAATGCCCTGCTGTCGCCCCTCGCTGTCGCAAGCTTCCTCCCGCTTCTCGTGATATACGTCGTTTTCCGTCGACGAAGCACCGTCGACAAGATCCCAGGACCTCCGTCTCCATCGTGGATATTCGGTCCGATTTCATTCCTCTCGGTTCCCACGCGCTGACGAATGCCCACGCTCAGGTCATACACTGCAGTTGACGATGGCGAAGGAATATGGTGACCACGAGTTCGAATGGCAGAAGTCATACGGTCCCGTCTACCGCATCAAGGGCTGTTTCGGTGTCAGTATCCTTCATTTCCCTTGGGCAGCGTGGAATCTTATTCGTACACAGGAAAATCGCTTGATGGTTTCTGACCCCGTGGCGCTCCAGTATATCCTGAATAGTCACAGCTTCAAAGTCGCGCCCAGGTTGGAAAATATGTTCCACCTGCTCTACGGACCCAAGAGTCTTGTCTGTGCCAACGGTACGCTGTCCTCCAACCGCTGGTTGACTTTCTCAAGCAACTGTTACAGCCGAGGAGCACAAATCGCTCCGCGCGGCCATGAACGTGGGTTTCACCGCGGCCGCCGTACGAAGTTACCAACCGATCTTTGAAAAGGCGGCTTTGAAGGTGAGAGCCCACAGCCGCATCCACACCTTCTCCAATCACTGACTTGCTCGCTGTTATCACGTAGCTCAGCGAGGAGCTCGAAAACTCTGGGACAGGAGTCCTGAACATTTGCCCGCTCCTGGGATCCGCAACCCTCAGTACCATCAGTGAAGGTGAACATAAGTATACCACATCGCGCGCATAATCCGTCTAACTCTTCCCAGCCGTGTTGGGCCAGTCCCTAGAGGAGTTGGGCGATGAATTCGTTCTCAATAATCTCGACATAAAGTACGTAGTTGCGCTCCATGTCCCCGAGCCCCCCCATCTGATTTCTGCACCTCAGTTCATTGGCGGCGACCCGATCCCGCGGACAGGTTATCGCGGACGCTATCATCGGTTACCTACCTTCCTGGCTCGCTCACGCAGCCATCCACCTGCCAACCCCGACCTTCAAGATCATCCGGAAGTCGAAGCGCCTCGCACACGAGCTTGGGACGCGAGTGGTTCGGGAGAAGGTCGCCGCGGTAAAGAACGGAGTAGATGTCGATGGCGACGTCTACGGTGTACTTTGTGGGTCATTATTCCCGATTTGTACACGCCACTCTCACCTTCATTCTCAGTGAATCTGGATCGAGCTGGGGAGTCGAAGAATGGCGTACCCGGAGACATCGTCGCGGCGCAGACGGCTCTCATCATGGTTGCGGGCCAGGATACGACGGTGAGCGAGCCTCCATCCGGGATCGTATTCCGTCCAACTTGGACCCTCATTTTTTCTAGGCGAGCACATTGGCGCTCGGTCTGCGAGACCTCGCCAAGATGCCAGAATTTCAGGAAAATTTTCGGGCCGAAATCGCAGCAAACCGCGGCAGCCCAGCGTACGACAGCATGCCGCTGCTGAACGCGTTTATCAAAGTAGGTTGCGTCGAATTGAACCCGGTCTGAATATATTATTGATGCATAAATACTTTGTGAAGGAAATGCTCCGCGTGTACCCCACGATGCCCCTCGACGACCGCATCGCGGTCGAGGACGCCACAATCCCGCTCGGGCACACCATCACGACCTCCACTGGTGAAAAAATCTCAGAAATAGTCGTCGAGAAGGGGCAAATCCTCAACATGGCGATCGCTTCGTTCCAAACGTCAGCGTACTTTAAAATCTCACACGGGCAGGCTCTACTGATTTAATGTAAATATCAACAGACTCGAATCGCGCTGGGGCGACGATGCCTCGCAATTCAACCCCAACCGTTGGCTCAATGGCTCGGCCTACAAAGGAGGAGGTGGAGAGGCGCTTGGCCCGTACGCCAATCTGTCGGCCGTCCTCCTGTATTCCTCACACCCAATTGCTCACGCACGACGTAGTCTCAGCTTCCTCGGTGGGCCGCACAGTTGTCTCGGGTGCGTCCTGTTCCTTCTCGTCTCCGTATAAGAGACTTAAACTGGCCCCGTAGATGGCGATTCGCGTAAGACAGGATTCTCCCTCCCTCCGTCTACCCATCTAACCCTCGTTCCAACTTGAAAGCGTCCTGGAAATGCAGGTTTTCGTCTGCGAGTTGGTCGGCAAGTTTTTGTTCGCGTTGCCGGAGAACGATCCGGTTCGGGCTCAGTTCGTCAACACTCTTATTCCCTGGATGCCGGACGAGCGCAAAGGTGCCCTGTTGGTTGTTACTCCCGTCGTGTAGGGCCGGCATACATACACAGTATGATATCAATACAGGCAATGCCACCCCTGCAAAAAGCAGATCTGATGGGGGCGCTATTCACATACGAATCATCCTCTAGGTCTCTCGGCCCCCGAGATTTCCCTCGTCGAAAGCCCACCGCGGTCCGTCAATCACAAACTGAGGGACTTTCTACTTGTGGAAGATATTATTCGAAACGGTCGGAAAGCGGAAAGTCAACGTGAAATCTGGTGGTGCATGAATAAGAAATTAGAACACAGTCGAAGTGTATCAGCATCTCAGGCCGAATTATCTGCCCCCAATCGTCGTTCGTCGGCGCGTAACCCAGCGTAAATTGGCATCAGCTCTGAGACCTGCTCCCACTGTGCCTTCGTTGTCCCGCGCCCGGTGAACGTCGTAAGGGCCGGGAAGACGGAAGACAGGAACTCGGCGACCATCCTGGGTGAGTTGGAGATTCGGAGAGATTTAAGTGCGGTCTGCAGCACCCGTGGACTGCGCGAGGGATCGTCCATCCGGAGCGAGGTTGCATCAACGACAAGGTGCAAAACCCGTAACTGTGGGCAGCATCGGGATAATGGAAGAAGGCCCATGATGGTTGGGGTGGTGGGGTGGATGGGGTTGCGGTGGTGGCCGTAGATGGAGAGGTGTCGAATGGCAGGCCATGCGAGCGCCATGGCGGCCACGAAAGCATCGTCGAGACACACCTCGAGTATAGATGTGACTTTCAGGACCTGAATTTTCGAGCAGGACAGCAAGGGGCGAAGAGTGTTTGGTGTCATGGTGTACAGCCGTGGACTTGTCCTCGCTTTCTCCCCTGCCGTTCGAAAATCGATTTCGATTGACGTGAGGGAGATGGAGGAGTAATGGGATTGAGTTGCGGAACAGAGGGCAAATGCGTCTGTCGTCATTGGGTGATTCACCCAGGCTCCAATCTCTACTTTGCGTAGGTCACCGGAGGCGACCCGAGAAAGAAACCGGATAGCGTGCTCGACAGGGGTAGTTTCGAACTTCAGCGAAAGAAGGGTGGGGAAATAAGCCATCGCGGGCAAGTTGTTCGCGGCTGGGAATGGGTCGGTATCCATTTCTCCGACATAGAGGTATTCCAAGTGAGGGAGAGCGGCCAGGGAGCGATACCCTTGTGAATTCAACGTAGATTCGACCGTCACCGCGGTCAGCTGCGGCAGGTGTGCGAGGAAAGACGAAATGGCATCGGTCTCGTCGGATGGTGACAGGGATTCGTCCTGCGAGAGTGACACCATTTTCAAAAATGGTGATTTCCTCTGTAGCAGCTGTAAGACTCCGAGACGCCAGA